CGTCATTAGATTTCTTGACTGCTGCTTCCATGAGTGTTGATGGTTGATCCAAGAAGAATGAAGTCCTTGACAACTTCAATCTTTTCTCCCTTGATAAGAATATTGTTTATTGATCCAGTGGTGAGGATTTTTGTTTTCTTTACATTGAGATGCAATCCATACTGAAGGCTGTGCTCTTTGATCTTCATCGGTAAATATTTTAAGTCTTTTTCACTGTCAGCAAGCAAGGTTATATCATCTGCATATCACATGTTGTTAATGAGTCTTCCTTCAATCCTTATGCCACATTTTTCTTCATATAACCCAGCTTCTTGGGAGCTGAACAGAAAATTTCAAAGATCAGCTTGAGAAGATAAAGCCAAATATTACAACAAAATGTGCAAAGATCTGGAGTCAGAAAACTGAAAAGAAAGAACAAACTCAGCTTTTCTCAAGCTGAGGGAACTGAAGAAAAAACTCAAGTCTCGACTTTCATTATTGAAGGATTCTCTTCGTAAATTATTGAATGATGCAGAAAGTATCAAAAGAAGATGGAAGGAATACGCAGAGTCACTGTACCAAATGGAAATGGATGATCAGCCGTTTCAAGAGGTATGATATGATCAAGAGTCAATGATACTGAAGGAAGAAGTCCAAGGTGCACTGAAAGAATTGCAAAGAACTAGGCACCAGGAATTGATGGACTGAAAATTGAAATCTTTCAGGAAAGTGAGGTGGGACAGGAAGGACTCACTCATCTCTGCCAAGAAATTTGGAAGACAACTATCTGGCCAACTGATTGGAAGAAATCCATATTTGTGCCCATTCTAAAGAGAGGTGACCCAACGGAATGAGGATATCATCGGACCATCTCTTTGATATCCCATGCGAGTAAAGTTTTACTAAAAGTAATACAGAAACAGCTACAAGCATACATTGACAGAAAACTTCCAAAGGTCCAAGCCAGATTCAGAAGAGGCTGTGGAATGAGGGATATCATTGCTGATGTCCGATGGATCTGGGCTGAAAGAGGATATCAGAAAGATGTTTACCTGTGCTTTATTGACTTCACAAAGACTTTTGATTGTGTGGATCATGACAAGCTATGGACAACATTGCAAAGTATGAGTATTCCGGAACGCTTAATTATGCTCATGAGGAATCTGTACCTGGACCAAGAGGCAGTTGTTCGAAGAGAACATGGAAACACTGAATGGTTTAAAATTAAGAAAGGTGTACAACAGGATTGTGTAATTTCACCATACTTATTCAACCTGTACCCTGAGCAAATAATCTGACCCATAGCGACCCTGTATAGGGTTCCAAGGAGCAGCTGGTAAGCTTGAACTGTCAACCATGCTGTTCAAACAGCTTTGCATCTGCCGCATTAACCCACAGCACCACACCAGGACTCCCACTATCTCGATACTCCACTTTATTTTATCAGTGACAAAAGATGAGTTTGGGATGGTGATGACAGGGATAAACATAGTCAGGGCATGTATCTGGAATATTCCATTGCCCCATTGCTTCATATTTAAGGGTGCTATAAGGAGCTCTGGTAGCGTAGTGGTTACGAATCGGGCTGCGAACCTTAAGGTCAGCGGTTCGAAACTACCAGCTGCTCCGTGGGAGAAAGATGAGGCTTTCTACTCCCGTAAAGATTTACACCCTCGGAAACCCTATACAGGGTCGCTATGGGTCGGAACCGACTCGATGGCACATAACAACAACAACAACATAGACAGTGATAATATTTTTTGTTTTCCACCTCTACTGATTTTTCTTTGATAAGAGGCTGTTGAATTGTGTGTGTATGTTTTGTGTTGGCACTTCTTTATGGGTACAGTTTTATAATTGGGCAAAAATTGCAAAAATGCAAATCAATGCAAGTGCTGATACGCTAACTACTCAAGCAGTAAAGCTTGTGGTAACTTCAGAAGAAACATACAGTGATTCACCAAAGTATATGACATAGAATTGGACGGGGCCAACTGTCAAGTCAGAGAAAATGAAAGCGCACAGATCCAAGGGATTTTGACTCAGGAGTGGAGGAATTACAGATAAAAGGTTCCCTCTGTAACTCTGACCTTGTTTTGAGCTTTTAACGACCATATGCCAACCCAGCTGTAATACTGGCTGTTCAAACCACTCAGAAATGCCTCAGAAGTTAGGCTGGTAGGTCGGCTTCCAAAAAGCCACAGCCTTAAAGGTAGAAGTTTTTTAACAAAAAGTCGGGAGTAGTTAATCTTATGTTCCAGGAACAGAGGACCCTAGGACCATTAAGAGAGAAGAGCATAAGCAGAGTGTGGGACCCTATCCAGAGAAACAGCAACACCAGAGATGGAGGCAGAGATGAGGACATGGAGAGAAGGAGCAGCTGAGGACTCCAGACTACAGAAAGAGAAAGGCTGGGTGCTGGTGACCAGGAGGCAGGCTTGCAGAATGTGCCCTTTGGTTGTTTAAATGATTATATATTCCTAAGTGTTTCTGTGTACACCCTCCCCCCGCCAAAAAAAACCCCAGAGGGAATAGAAGCAAAAATAACTGTTGAATGATGATGCATGGAGTGGACTGTAATCATTGCAATGAAACAATGAGTGTTAAACCGAAGTTCTCCCATGTAAACTATCATTCAATTCACAATAAAAACTTGAAGAAAACCCCGCCACAGCATTGAAAGCTGATGAGGTGCAGCTCTGCTTTGCACATGTGTGGAGTTGTCATGATTTGGAATCGACTCAACAGCAACCAGTTAATTTTTTCTTAAATTTGAGTGAAGGTTTACAGAACAGATCATCAGTTCTACAGTCAACAAATCATATGCTTGGTGTCATTTTTTGGTACTTGTTTATAGGGCCATATCAAGGTCATCTTTATAATATTCATCAACTTTATTAAGGTGTACTGTGTAGTGGCTATACAATAATTTAGTAAAGTAAATTATAGTGACTTAATTAAGATGATAAATTATACTGTGATTTCTTGACAAGAGAGAAATATGCTGCAGAACCTAATCTTTACATTTTATTTATTTATTTGTATACTTTTTATTGTAGTTTGGGTGAAAGTTTACAGAGCTAATCAGTGTAACAGCATTTTGTTCACTTCCTCCCTGGGTTCCCCGTTTCCGTTCAGCTTTCTTCCTTGCCTATTTCTTAGCTTTGTTTTGGGGCAAGCGCTGTCTTTTTGGTCTGATGGTGGTTATAGTGAGTTTGTCACTGGTATTCACTTTATAGGCCTGTTTTGCTGAGTTGATCATCTGGGTGGACTCAGTTCCAAGCTTGAAGGGTGTCTTAAGGGCTACAGTTTAGGTGGTGAGGGGTTCTACCAATTGCTAGTGAACTAGTAAGACTGGCCTTCTTTATGATTTTGACTTTTGTTCTGCATATTTTCTCTCCTTTCTGTCCGGAATCTTCTGTTACAATCACGATCAAAGCGGTTGGTACCGGTAGCTGGGCACCATCTAGGTTTTTTTGGTCTCAGGGTAGTGAAGGCTGAGGTTCGTGTGATCCATTAGTTCTTTGGATGGTGTCTGCATTAATTGTTACCTTGAGTCTTTGATTTTCTTCACGCTTTACTCCACATGGGGAAAGATCACCATAGGTGACTTCTCAAAATC